CTCCAGGCTGGGAGCTGCTGCTTGAGCTCAGAACGCTGCCCGGCTCACGGGGGGGAGGGCACACAGCTGGGTGTTTGTGACCATGGGGACCTTGTGTGCCTGTGTGTGTGCATGTGGCTCTGTGACGGCACGTGTGTGACTGTGACTGCACATGTGACAATGTGTGATGGCATGTGACTTGGCATGGCTGTGGGACTGTGTGTGACAATGTGACACTGTGTGACTGTGTGTACGTGACTGCGTGACTGTGTGTGACTGTGACAATGTATGTGACTGTGTGCCTGTGTGGCTGTGACTGCATGTGGCTGTGTGTGACTATGTGCGTGACACGGTGTGACTGCATGTGGCCGTGTGACTGCATGTATGTGACTGTGTGTGACCATGTATGTGAATGTGCATGACTCTGTGACACTGTAGCAGCGTGGCTGTGTGATTTTATGTGTGACTGTGCATGTGGCTGTGTGTGTGGCTGTGTGACTATGTGACTGTGTATGGCTGTGTGCGGCTCTGTGTGTGTGTGGCTGTGTGACTGTGGCTGTGTGTGTGACTGTGTAACTGTGTGGCTGTGTGACTGTATGGCTGTGTGCGGCTCTGTGTGTGTGTGTGTGGCTGTGTGACTGTGGCTGTGTGTGTGTGTGACTGTGTGTGACTGTGTGACTGCATGCGACTGTGTGGCTGTGTGACCATGTGTGTCACTGTGTGTGGCTGTGTGACTGTGTGACTGCATGGCTTTGTGACTGTGTGTGACTGTGCATGTGACTGCGTGGCTGTGTGTGCATGTGACTGTGTGTGGCTGTGTGACCATCTGTGTGACTGACTGTGTGTGTGAGGCTATGTGACTGTGTGACTGTGCATGGCTATGTGACTGTGTAACTGTGACTGCGTGGCTGTATGACTGTGTATGTGACTGTGCATGCAACTGCGTGGCTGTGTGGCTGTGCAGCTGTGTGACCGTGTGTGTGACTGCGCGGCTGTGTGGCTGTGCGGCTGTGTGACCGTGTGTGTGACTGCGCGGCTGTGTGGCTGCGTGGCTGTGTGACCGCGTGTGCGACTGCGTGGCTGTGTGGCTGCGTGGCTGTGTGACCGTGCGTGTGGCTGTGCGGCTGTGTGACTGTGCGTGACTCTGTGTACGTGACCAGGCATAACTCTGTGTGGCTGGTGTCTGACCAGATGACAATGTCAGGCTGGGGTGGCGTCAGGGAGAGTTCCACCCTGCTGTCCTGGAGGGTCCCCTGTCCTGCCAGCCCCAGCCCACTCCCCTCTGCCCTCATGCCCACCTGTGCTTGCAGACGTGGACGAGTGCAGCATGAACAGCGGGAGCTGCGACCAGGGCTGCGTCAACACCAAGGGCAGCTACGAGTGCGTCTGCCCCCCAGGGAGGCGGCTGCACTGGAACCGCAAGGACTGTGTGGGTGAG